ACACACACACACACACACACACACACACACACACACACACACAGAGGAAATCTATGCCTCTATCAGAAAGAATAACATCGCCCCATTTTTTAGGAAATGGGAAGACTTGGAAAAAAATCTTATTAAGTGAAATAAGCCAGGCCTAAAGAAACATAGGTTCCATGGTTTCCCTTATTTGCAATAACTAGTGTATGTCTAGGACAAGCAGAGAAGGTCACTATATACACATGACCATATAAGATGGTGCTAAGCGAAATGAACCCTAAGATAGGGACACAAGAAGTTTTATCTTTGTTGCTGTTGTTTTTAATGTACTTATAATGTACTGTGTGATTTTTTTTGTTTCTGTTGTATGTTCTTCACCCATGATACAACCCCTGTTTTCACTCTATTTGATTCTAGTGCCCTGCATCTTGTATATACATTTTTCTAATTTGGGGAAGGGGAGGGAAATAACAAAATGTTGAAATAAGGATACAGGTTGACCCATTGTAACAATGAAGATGTACAAGACACTATGTTGAAAACTAACTTGACAGTTTCAGGGGCGGGAGGGAGAGAAAAGTTGAGGAGATGGAGAAAGAAGGGATGATAGAGAAAAAACAAAGGAGGGGTAACAATGCTCGATATAAAGTATACTTGTTACCTTATTCATGTGACTGTAACCCGTCTGTACAGTAGCTTTACAATAAAAAAATATATATGGAAAAAAAGAATTCAGGGTAAAAGACCTTACCTATGAGAAAGTTCTTTCCTAGAACTAATACTTGAGCTGCCATGTGGACTTATGTCTTAGCCTTTTTTTTCTTCCTCATCTTGTACATTGGTATCCAAAGAACCATCCTATTGTTCACATGTCTTATGAGAAGACCTATCTATCAGTGGTAGATAGAGATTAAAATGGAGTCTATGAAAAATGCAGAATAAAACTGGTCCCAGACTTCTTTATCTCTCCTGTTTAGGGTAGCCTTGGCAAAAGAGGATGTCAAGTCTGGAACCAAAGGCTCCCAGCCCATGTCACCATCTGATTTTCTGGACAAGCTTATGGGGCGAACATCTGGATATGATGCCAGGATTCGACCCAATTTTAAAGGTAAAGAAACATTCATCCTACAAAACCCTCCCCACATTCACCACCTTTGGTGAAATACAAGCCAGATCCCCTACTTGTATCCTGGAATTTCAGAGCTAGTTGTTCTAGCTCAAAAAGAACCTCACCTCCTTCTGGGCCAGTCTTCTCCCAGAAGTTCTCTGTCTGACGTTCAAGTAGGGAGTTTTGAAACCTGCTTCCAGCTTCCTGGAATGCCCTGCCAATGGGCTGTGCTTTGCTACCCTAGGCCCTCCTGTGAACGTGACCTGCAACATCTTCATCAACAGTTTTGGCTCTGTCACCGAGACCACTATGGTAAGGGGTCTTTCTGTTCCCTGTTTCCACTCTACTGTGAAAGGACAAAGCCCAGTAGTTATCAGCAAGCATGTACTTCCTGTGTCTTCTTCAAATTTCATAGTCATCGCTAAAGCCATGTCATGTCTGAAACTAGTCACTGGGAGGACATTCTTCCTTAGCCTCAATTTCCATGACTAAAGAGTAGCCTAAGCAGCAAATGGTCAAATAAGTAGGTTAAGGCAGAGTATAAACTTTGAAGTCAGACAAACCTGGGTTCGAATCCAAATTCCATTCCTAATAGCTAATTTGGCATTTACATAAATCTTTCCTGGTCTCAGTTTCTCATTTCTGAAATACTGATCATAATGCACAAGGTTGGTGGCAAGATTTAAATGAGCTGATACATGTAAAGAAAACACTTAGCAGAGAATGTGGCACATAGAAAATGCTTACGTAAATGCCTTTTCCCTTCCCATCTTTGCCTTATCAACCTAAAGCATAATCTTTTAGTAGAAAATTCTACTGACCCCAAGATGAGCCCTCAGCATTTCCCCATCATGGCCCTTCTGAGAAGAGAGAGTGAGAGACAGCCAGACAGATAGACAGACAGACAGACAGACAGACAGACAGACAGACAGAGAGACAGACAGAGAGAGAGAGAGAGAGATCTGCTGGGCGCCTGGGAATAGCAATGTTTCTGATGGGCCCATCTCTGTACTTTCCCAGGACTACCGGGTCAATGTTTTCTTACGGCAGCAGTGGAATGACCCACGTTTGGCCTACCGAGAATATCCTGACGACTCTCTGGACCTCGACCCCTCCATGCTGGACTCTATCTGGAAACCAGACCTGTTCTTTGCAAATGAGAAGGGGGCCAACTTCCATGAGGTGACCACAGACAACAAGTTACTGCGCATCTTCAAGAATGGCAATGTGCTCTACAGCATCAGGTGCACCTGGTGGACATCAAGTGGAAGCCAGATGGAGGTGGAGAGCTGGGAGGGGGGTCTCTTTTCTGTTCTGCTCAATCTTAGTAATATGATACGACTTCTTTCTTACTGTTCTCACCAGATTGACCCTCATTTTGTCCTGCCCAATGGACCTCAAGAACTTCCCCATGGATATCCAGACCTGCACGATGCAGCTGGAAAGCTGTGAGTGTCTCTAGTCACAGAGAAAGGCCTGAACAGCAGCTAGTTAACCCTAACCCATGATATTCCAGACAGGGGAAGTCCCACCTCACCACCAGAGTTGGGAGGGAGTTGCCTTACACACAGTCAATTCATGATGCTGAAGAGACTTTAAGCCAGGGCTCTGTGACACCTAGCCCATTGTGTTTTTCCAGCCCTCCCCCCCCCCCCACTACTTGTCCCCCCCCCCCCCCCCCCCCCCCCCCCCCCCCCCCCCCCCCCCCCCCCCCCCCCCCCCCCCCCCCCCCCCACTACTTGTTTGACTGGTTGTTCCACCCGGCTAGGCAATGGGAAGGTACCAGCCTTATATATAAACAAATGTACTTGTGCTGGCTGTAGGCAATTGAATGGCTACTCCTGTACCCAAAAGTATGTTCCCTCTTATGGTACCTGTTTCTCCTGACTTAAAACTCTGAAGATGTTCTTTAAAAATGCCAGCGTTAGGCAGGGTAGGGACTCTCTTTCAACTAATCGCTGTGAACATGTAACAGTTGCAGAGAAGAAGGCCAGGCACAGAACAGTGCCTACAGAAGTAAGCCAAAGGTTCTTCTATGGCACAGGGGCCAAAAATGTAGAGCTTCCCAAACTGAAGAGTCAGAGGATAGTAAAACTAAATCATCACCTATTTCCACTCTTTCTACCTCTTTAGTGAGGTCAAAACTGTAAACAGGAGACATCTACAAGATCCTCAGAGAACAAGGCTTTTAAGGTTGTTCCTAGCACCTAACACTGATGCATAGAATGCATCCTGTGATCTGTACCTTGTTCTTCATAATAAGCAGTGTTCACATCCAGTGTTCCCATCAGCACTTCACAATGTGGAAGAGCAGAGAAGAGCTACTACCATTCCTATTTTACAGAAGGGAAAGAGATTTTACCAAACTGAGTAAAGGCTCTGTACTTTGAGCCTTAGTGTTTCTGCTCCTGTCACTCCTGACATGTGAATATGGCTGTATACATGGCCCTGCACATGTTAAGAGCCTTCATGAACTGTTTAGTTATCTGTGAGGGACTTGGCATGTTCAGATATTCACTCTCAAGCTGTCCCAATTCAAGGCCCTGGATGGCTGGGCGTCTGTGGTATGCACATTGTCCCATGCATGACTGGCAGCACAGAAATAGCTCTCTGTTCCCTGAGGTGAAGTGGCAGCAGCCTTGGCTCTGGGGCTGGCTCAACTCAAGACATGTGGTCAGTACACATGCTTATTCCTCTGGGCTTGAGATATGGCAGGAAGTTCCCAGCTGGGGTCTTTGACATCTTTCCAACCCTCTTAGACTGCATTCTATGTCTACCAGAATTATTTCTCTTTGGGGTTTTCTCAAATTTGAGAACTTGGTAGGAGAGGAATCTGGAATCTTTCTGACTTGTCCATTTAGGATGAGCTTTAAAGACAACTGACCAAGTACTCTCATCAGGAAAGTTTCCCTTTCTTAGATGGATATCCAATTCCTAAACCCCAGGCCTTCTTCTTCAAATGTGAGAGCCTGCCAGCTATAAACCTATCTCTACTCTCACTCAACACCCACTCTGCAGCTCTATGCTATTTCTCTCACTCACTTGCAGTTGGTTACACCATGAATGACCTCATGTTTGAGTGGCTGGAAGATGCTCCTGCTGTCCAAGTAGCTGAGGGACTGACTCTGCCCCAGTTCATTTTGAGGGATGAGAAGGATCTAGGCTATTGTACCAAGCACTACAACACAGGTAAGAACCAGGCTCTTTACTGGCTGTGAGGAATCAGATGGTCTCTAGATGGGAGGCAAGGGGATAAGACAGCCAACTTCTATTGGAGTCCTACTAGTCAAGATATGATGCTATGAGTTTTATATTCTTTTTTTCACCATGCTAGTGATGATTAATACCAAAAAAGAATACAAAGGTTTCAGAGAGGTTAAATCAATTATACATGTCACATAGCTAATAAATGGCATCTTTAACAATCCAAATACTGATGTAGCCCATGTTCTCCCACACATGTTAATGAACAATGTACCTGATGAGTGGCAAGTGTATCACATTCTTCTTGGTGGCAATTTTGTGAGCACTAGGAAACTGACATCTGGGAGTAGTCAATATCTATGGTGGACTAAGAGGGAACAGGTTGTTGAGGGCAGCAACTGGCTTACTACTGGCTTACTCCCCACACCTCTTATCATAACCACTTCCTAGCTCTCATAAACTGGCTTGTTTTTCCAGGAAGTGGAGAAGGGCTGCTTTTCCAGCCTGATTATCCACCCTCTACATCCTCCCTAAGAGTTGTTGGTTCCTCGTTTTCCTTGTGATTTGGCTGTGAGGAGTGGAGACTGAAAAGAGGGAAATACTGGGGCCCCTGTGATGCACTGATATGCTTTGTGTGCTTCCAATAAACATGTGTATAAATGTATGTGGAAGTGTAGGGGTGTGGGAGTGGGGAGAGCAGCAACTTATTGATTCTGGAAAATGGAGGCAGAAGCAGAAAATGGTATAATCTCCAGGGAGGAAGAATTGGCAATTAGTATGTAGGTCAGTTGTTTTCCAGTTCTATTCAATGTATTCCCTTGGAGAGTGTGTTAAAATGTTGACTTCTGGGCTGTACCTCTCAGATTCTGATGATATATGCAAGGAGTGATGCCCAGAAAGTTGCATTTCTAACAAGTATCCTAAGGATTCTAATGCAGATGGTCCACAAAGCATAGTATTTTGAGAAACATCACTCTAAAAGCTAACTTTTTTCCTACTTATTTATCCAGGAATGCCATGCCTTGGAATATATTACAAGGAAACATTCTAAAATATCACAATGAATTTAGACCCTCAAGTGCAACCCTGAGTCACTGTGTTAAAAGTTTGGATTTGTTCATGGCTGGGAAGGTGGCTCAGTGGTAGAGTGCTTGCCTTGCATGCATGAGGCCCTTGGTTCGATTCGTCAGCACCACATAAGCAGAAAAAGCCAGAAGTGGCGCTGTGGCTCAAGTGGTAGAGCACTAGCCTTGAGCTGAAGAGCTGAGGGACAGCGCCCAGGCCCAGAGTTCAGGCCCCACGACAGACAAAATAAATAAATAAATAATTGATTTGTTCAAATATCTGCCAGTAGGGCAGAGGTTAATTGAATCACATAGTGTGTCTGATTGGTGCCATAAATAGATAGGCATTAAAGAAGGATGCTTTCAAGGTACTTATATCTACATGGGAAAGTACAAATAGAAAAAGGAAAGACACAAATCTGTAAACACCTAATGATTATATTTGGACACAAGGAATAAATCAAAACCCATGAATTTTTAAATCGTGGAAGAAAATACTAGTAGCAAATTTTTCTCAGCAATGTGACAGAATGGGTAAGAGGAAGAAATTTTGATTAAGACAGACCTAAGTTTGGATTCTGGAAACTTATTGAGTGTCCTTAGAGAAATGTAACAATGTCTTCATGCCTCAGTACCCCTATCTGTAATATGTGACATAATTTCAGCTGCTCAAAGATTTGTTATACAATTAGATAAGATAAACTGTATAGTCAGGGCATTTAGTAAGTGCATGATAAGTATGAGCTTGTGATTATTATTCTTTTCCTATTTTTCTGTACTAAATGAGTGTTGATTTTATAATTAGAAACAAAACTGCTATTACAAAAAAAGGAAAGATGAAAGGAAAAGAAACTACAGGTACACAGTAAGGGCATGTCATAGCAGGAAGTCCAATGAGAACTTGGGAACAGCAAGAGGGCATAGTGTCAGACAGTATGTCAAAGTTATAATCACTGGCCTTTCCAGGCTTGGTGGCTGTAATCCCAGCCCTTGAAGAGAGAAGGATCTGCAATTAAAGCCAGACTGGGCTACATAGTAAGTTGGAGACCAGATGGTGATCCACAGTATGACCTTGTCTCAAAAAATAAAAAACAAAGAAGGGGAAAAATTATTAGCCTTGAGAAATCAAGTAAACCCAAGTCAGAATTAAAAATTACAGTTGGCTTTCCATATCTACAGGTTCCACATCCAAGGAACCAATTAATCAAAAATATTTTAAAAAGAGGTGAGTGGATATATGTGTATGTATGTGTGTATATGTATATATACATTTATGGGCAGGCATGATGGATCATGACTATAATACCAGCTACTCAGGAGGCAGAGATTGGGAGGATCAGAGTTTGAGGCCAGTCTGGGAAAACAGAGACTCCATCTCAGTTTATTTAAAAAAATGATTGCTATGGTGGTATGCACCTGTAATCTCAGCTAAGTGAGAGGCTGTAGGTAGGAGGATCAAGATATAAATCTGGCCCCAGGCTAAAAAGCACAAGACACTACCTGGACTATAATTAAAGTAACAAAGGGCTGGGACTATGGCTTAAGTGGTAGAGTACCTGCCTAGCAAGTATAAAATGCTGAGCTCAAACTCCAATACTGACAAAAGAAACTCCATTTTTGTTGAAGATGTATAGACTTTTTTCCTTTTATTCCCTAAACCATATAACAATTATTTACATAAAATTTACAGTGTTAGGTATTATAAGTAACTCAGAGATGATTTAAAATATATGAGAAGATATATATGTATGTATGCATGTATACATATATACATATACACATATATACATGATACAAATACTATGCCATTTTATATAAGGGACTTGTGCATCAACACATTTTGTTATCTTCAGGAGATCCTGGAACCAATCTCCTGTGGATACTGAGATGATTATATACATCATCACCTCCTCTTTTCTTGGGATATGTTAGACCTCTGCTTTTGAAAGAACTGCAAAGATTCAAGAGAAACACGATAAAGTGACGATGCCTGGCAGGGGAAGCAGATCATTGGTACATGGCCCTGGGACCAATGTATTCTTCCTTAGAAGAATAGAATGTTACTACCTGATGCCTATAGGAACCTGCTGCCCACTGTCCAGAGCTAGTCTCTGTTGAGTATTATACGAGATGTCTGCTATCTAGCTCTTCTCACTTGTTTTAAGACACAGACAGTGATTAGTTCTGTACTGTTGCTAGAGAATGTCTGGGATACTAGCAAGTTCAAGTTAGGCTATACTGAAACCTGAGTGAAGTCTATTAAGCATTATTGATAATAGAATAATTTTAACAGCTACCTATTGTTCAACATCTCAAATGCATTATCTCATTTTAGTTTTTCCAATAGCCCAATGATGGAGGTGATCATTGTTAATACTCTGTTCTATGGGCAATGAAAGTGAAGTTCAAAACCTTCGGTGGTCAGGCAACAGTGGCTCAAGCCTGTAATCCTAGCTACTTAGGAAGCTGAGAATAGGGGAGGAATTACAATTCAAGGTCAGCCCAGGCAGAATAGTTCATGAGACCTCTTCTCAACCCATAGCTGGGCTCAGTGGCACCTATCTATTATTCTAAGCTACATGGAAGGATGAGATTGGGAGGATCACAGTTCCAAGTCAGCTTAGGCAGAAGTCTGAGAGGCTCCATCCCAGCAAAAGCTAGACACAGTATTGCTTACTTGCCATCCCTGAACTGTTACTAGGGTAAGCCTAAAATAGGCACATCGTGGTCCAAGTACCTGCCCAGGCAGGATGTGAGAACGTATCTTAAAAATAATCAGTGAAGCTGGGAGCTGGTGGTTCACGCCTGTAATCCTAGCTACTCAGGAGGCTGAGATCTGAGGATCACAGTTCAAAGCCAGCTCAGGCAGGAAAGTCCATGATACTCATCTCCAATTAACCACCAGAAAACCAGAAATGGCACTGTGGCTCAACTGGTAGAACATTTGCCTTGAGCTGAGGAGCTGAGGAATAGTGCCCACGCCCAGAGTTCAAGCCCCACACCATCAAAAAAAAAATCATTGAATACAGGGCTGGAGGTAGTCAGCATTACAGTGACTGTCAAGAAACATAGGCCCCGAGTTCAAACCTCGTATTACCACCAAAAAGGAAATTTAAAAAATCTTGAGTAGAGCGAGGCACAGTGACATATGCCTGTAATTCCAGAATTTAGGAGCCTAAAATAGGATAAGTTCCATGCCAGTCTGGCCTATATAGTGAAACTTTGTCTCAAAACAAACAAACAAGCAAACAAACAACAAAAAGGAAAGCTTGCATATTTTCTCCAAGGCCATACAACTAAGTAGAAGGTTCAGGATGTCAACCCAGCCAGTCTAATTCTGGAACTCTCTTGGCATTTACCCTCTTTATTGTGCTATCATTTCAAACACCTTATAACTAGGTGTGGTAGTGCATGCCACCTTGAGTTGTGATTTGAAGCCATACCAGGAAAACAAACAAACTTAACTCTATTTCAAAAAGTAAGCTGGGCATGGTAGCATAGACCTCTTATCTCAGAAATGCAGAAAGCAAAAGGAAGAGTGTGGTCCAGGCTAGCCCAGGCCAAAAACAAAAGTGAGACTCTATCTCAAAAAGCAGAAAGTAGGTGAGTAGGGAAGGGATGGTTGGGGAAAAACAAAGGAGGAGGTAACAATGCTCGATAGGGAATGTACTCATTAGCTTACTCATGTAACTGTAATCCCTCTGTACACTATTTTTACAATTAAAAAAAACATTAAAAAAGCAAAAATGGCTGGGGGTATTGCCAGGTATAGAGTGCCTGTCCAGGCAGCATAAGCCCCTGAGTCCAAACAAAACACAGTACAAGGAAGGAAGGGAAGGAAAGAGAGACAAAGGAAGAGTATGAGGTGAAGGATGGAAAGAAGGGAGGGAGGGAGGAAGGATGGACGGACTTTTTGTTGCTAAGAGCAAAGGGGTAAACCTGTGGCCATTTTGAAAGTCTCATTTATTGACGACTCTCTGAGATGCCCATCCAGAAGCTAGCTAACAGATAGGGCTGCCCTACTACTGCATCCTCAGGCTCAAGCTCAGGCTAGGAAATTAATGGTAGATACATTTCATCACTTCTGTTGTAGGAAAATTCACCTGCATTGAGGTCAAATTTCACCTGGAACGACAGATGGGCTACTATCTGATTCAGATGTACATCCCCAGCCTGCTCATCGTCATCCTGTCCTGGGTCTCCTTCTGGATCAATATGGATGCTGCTCCAGCCCGTGTAGGTCTTGGCATCACCACTGTGCTCACCATGACAACCCAGAGCTCTGGCTCCCGGGCCTCTTTGCCTAAGGTGAGTTCATACAAGGAAACGTGATTATTATCAAGCTCTCTGCTTCCATTCATCTCATACTCTTCTCTGTTAACTCTTCACTTTGGACTTGAGGTTAAGAACTCTTGAAGTGGGGTGCTGTTGGCTTATGACTACAATCTTAGCCACTTAGAAGGCTGAGTTTTGAGGATCACGGTTCAAAGCCAGCCCAGGCAGGAAAGTCCATGAGACTCTTATAAAGAATGTAGAGGCTGAAGTTAGGGATGATTAGTTAGAGACAATGAGTAGAGACAAATCTCAAGTATCTTGGTTTTCTTCAGGAAATAACAGCATGTCGTAAATCAAAAGATCCTTATCAAACAGAAAACCCCACTCCTACATGGTACAGATGAGAATATAGGCCAGAGCAACCAAGTGACCTTCTCAAGGTCATATCCCACCAAAAATAACCAAAGAAACATCAGGATTTTGAACCAACATCTGTGCTCTTACTACATCAGAAATAAGATTGTCTTACAAAGATGTCTAGGTACAGTATCTATTCTTTAGGGAAGGGAACAGTTTGAGGTAGCTAAAAGCAGTAAACGCTGATCATCTGGGGCCTGGTGATGTTTTGATTACACAGAAAGATTTATGCTGATGAAACTGGGAATAGTTCTCCCTGCCTCCTGTCTTCACGTAGGTAATTTTAAGGTCACTTCAAAGTCCTTACAGTCAGCAAGGCTCTAAGCAAATCAAGGAGTGAGACCTTACTTTAAATCACTAAATATTTATTAAGCATGTAGTATATTCCAGGCACTGTACTTAGTCATGAAGGAATAATGAAAAACCCAAAGCAAAAGAATTCTTTATGAATCTTGCCATGAACATATTCCCTCTTATTCTGATTTGTTGGGGGCTGGGCCCTGTCATCTCTCATCTCTTACTGCTTGTTTCTAATAAGAGATTTTATTCAGAACTTAAGTAGGGAGTTATCTGGGACATAGATGCTGAATTTATGAATCTGCTATATAGGGGGACTAAGGGGTTAAGTGTACGAGATTTGGGTTTAAATCTCAGCTTCTCCATTTATAATAGTAATTTATATGATGACTGTCACCTTACTTTGTGGATATACTACATTTTTTTTCACTTTGGTCAGTCTTAAGGCTTGAACTCATGGCTTAGGCACTGTCCCTGAGCTTTTTTGCTCAAGGCTAGGGCTCTCCCACCTGAGCCACAGCTCTACTTCCAGCTTTTTTTGTACTTAATTGGAGAAATGAGTATCACAGACTTTCCTGCCCAGGCTGGCTTCAAACCATGATCCTCAGATCTCAGACTCCTTAGTAGCTAGGAATACAGGCATGAGCCACTGGTGCCATGCTCTGACATCTGGTTTTGAACAGTGTGGTTAAAAATAAAAGTACCATGTGTGCAGTTGGAGCTCAGCTGATTCAGAAAAGTTCTCTGTCATTCATGTGTTATCAATTGTTTTTAAACTATGCATCCTGAGCAATCCAGGTTTTCCTCAATGATGATCTCTTTGTAACCATATGCCACAGACAGCAAAGATGGGCTATAGTGTGACCTTAACCTTTGGTTTGCCTTATTTATAACACGGGAATGGACTATTGGCAAACATAGTGTTAAGTGTATAATAACCCCTTAACAAATGTTAACTTTTATTGTAATTATCAGATGTTGGAATTAAAGCAAAATAAGTGGTAGATCTGGGACTGAATCAGTCAATATTATCCGTTATTTTTTATTTGCTGGGAAACTTGAAGTAGTCCAAAGCCTTCTATATGAATAAACAATAACAAATCTCAGATCAGGATCTAGTGCCTGAGGAGAAGCTGTTAGGGACCGATACCCAGCAAATTATTTCCTAGATGGACAGGGGCTCTGAGAGGCAAGTTACACTTAGGACAAGGGCCACAGGGCCCAGCTGAGCTATAATTACTGTGTTATGGTAGTGGCCTTGTATAGATACCATAAGCAGAAAAGAAGCTCATCCCTAGGAACCCAGACCTAGTTTATTGCCTCTACCATGCAAGAAGATTCTTTAACTCAGGACGATACTGAAAATTATGCTGTCTTCTTGCCAAGAGGACCTCCTTTTATGCCTCCCTCCTGTGAGTGAGTACAATCCATCTGCTCACAGGAATCACTTAGTTTCCTCATTTGGAAAAAAATGGACTTTGTTGAAAGGTTGTTTGCTTGCAACATTCAGTGCCTTCTTCTCAGATTTTCATAACTTTTTTTATAGCCTCATTGCCCAGTAAGCAAAATATCCAAGCATGCTCTCTGAACTAAATAGCCTCATTAGTCACCCCACAGAGCAAGGACTGAGTAAGCAGGGGGCTTCTGCACACTCTTTACTTTGTCCAATATTAGGTTTAGCGGGAGCCGTAAAGCAAGAGATGGGACAAGGTAGGGGCTTCTGAAAAACAGATTAATCCCACCTCCTACAATTCTAGTGTCTAAAATGAGAGTAGCAGAAACTTGCTTTGTAAAAGAACTCCTGGGGCTGGGAAGGTGGCTCAGTGGTAGAGCGCTTGCCTTGCATGCTCAAGGCCCTGGGTTCGATTCCTCAGCACCACATAAGCAAAAAGAAAAAAGCCAGAAGTGGCGCTGTGGCTCAAGTGGTAGAGTGCTAGGCTTGAGCTGAAGAGCTGAGGGACAGCGCCCAGGCCCAGAGTTCAGGCCCCATGACCAGATCCAAAAAAAAAAAAGAACTCATGTTCCCAGAAAACAATTTCTTCTTTGCTTTTATGAGGATCATCCTTCTCCAGATGTTAACTATTTTTGTAATTATGAGATGTCAGGGTTATTTTTTTTAAAGAGTCACACTCTCTTTGTTAGGTCTTTGATCTCCACAACTGCAAGTGCTCAGAATAACAAAAAAGACAAAATACAAGATTCAACCTAAAGTTGTGGGGAGAAAAATCCCAATTCTCTCTAGGTCTTATAACCTAAATGGCCCTTAGCTCTTAGGACAGGTAGTGGCAAGAAGGGCAGATAGATCAAGTAGAAACCAGCAGAGAAAAACATATTGCTAAGCTATCCTTCAATTTATTCATTCAAAAAAATTACATGTCAGGATAGTTAGTAGATGTGTCATCCTATGAGCTGCTCTAATAAGTGAACAAATTACTGGACATTTTCAAAAAATGTATTACTGATATATCCTCATTCTTAAGTTTCTGTTCCTAGTGCTGAAAGTATCCTTCCCTTGAATGATCCAAAGTCCATCATGACCCTTCTTCCTTCCCAAGTATATCTTTCTAGCAGGCTTTGACATCCCTGGAGGCATCAGTGGGACTGAGAAATGGAAAATGAAAATAGGACTACTTAGTAGGTGGCAATGTGGGACACCAAGGGAACCTTAGTAATTATAGCTTCCTACTAATCTGCCACCACCCTTTCAGTGAAAAAAATTACAGCAGGGATCTGAGAATCAGGGTTCAAAGCCAACCTGGGCAGGAAGTCCATGAGACTCTTATTTCCAATAAACTACTCAGAAAAAGCTGGAAGTAGTGCTGTGGCTCAAGCAGTGGAGCACCTGCCTTGAGTAAAAGAGGTTCAGGGATAGTGTCCAGGCCCTGAGTTCAAGCCCTAAGACCAGCAAAAAAAATTACAGCAGAGTTTCTCAACTGATACCACTTAGGGCAGATAACAGATAGGAGGGGGGCTGTGTATTGTAGGATATTTTACAACACCCCTGTCTTCTACCCATTAGATGCCACTATCAACCACAATCCTAAAATTATGTGACCAAAAACTTCTCCAAACAAATCTGAGGGTGGGGCAATGGTTTCTTCAGTTAAAACCTACTAAGTTAGGAGCCTGAGGATGGAGCTTAGTGGTACAGCACTTGTCTAGCATGTGTAGGTCCTGATTTCAACTCCCAGCACCATGAATAAAAAGTCATCGACGTAGAAGCTTTCTCCTTACCTGCATCTGTATTACCCTCACTGCCCAACATAGCAGGTGATGAAAGAAATTGTATGTCATAAAATCTACTCCTGTTAGGCTGGAAAGGTGGCTCAGTGGTAGAGTGTTTGCCTTGCATGCATGAGGCCCTGGGTTCGATTCCTTAGCACCACATAAGCAGAAAAAGCCGGAAGTGTCACTGTGGCTCAAGTGGTAGAGTGCTAGCCTTGAGCTGAAGAGCTGAGGGACAGTGCCTACAACCGACAAAAACAAAAAATCTACTCCTGCTATGTTGCTGTAAGGAGTCACTCTAGATAGAAGAGGTGAAAGGATCTCATAAACCTGAGTTCTCTTCCTACTCCTGGAACCACCCAGTTCCCAAAGAGGTCAGTTACAACCTTCACAAGGGAAGTGGGAGATAAATATTCACAAAAGCTGTTCAGGCATGTTGTGAGAAGACAAAACTAAGAACTGGACAGGTGGATGTCAATAGTGCCTTGCAGTTAGTGAAATGCAATGACAGGAGGTTGGTGCTGCTTCCTTGGGACCCTACCCTGTTCTCCTCTCCCAAATGAGAGATGAAACTCCAGTTCACTACTGAGCTGCATTTCCTTTTGCAAAACGCAACAGGAAAAAAAAACAATGCCAATAGAAGAAGAAGGCAAAAATGGGTAATAAAGGACCTCCTAGTCTGTCTGTGAGGCTGCAGCCTAAGTAAATGATAAGGCCACTGAATGGAAAACCCAGAACTTCCAAGTCCTAGTGCTATGCTCTCACTGAGTAATTCTTGCTAAGACCATTTCTCTCTGACCCTTAGATACCCTTATGTGTGTCAAATGTAAATCATGAACCCTTCCAAACTACCACTATAGGCGTGAGAACCTGTAGAGTAACAGAGGGCAAACAAATGCCATATTCATGATCACTGCTATTTATTACAAGAATCAGAAGAAGGAAAGAATCAGAAGGGGAAAACTTAAAGAAGAAATGGGAGAAGAAATGAATCAGAAGAAGAGATCAGAAGCAGAAAAGAATGAAAAGAATAATAAGAAACAGAAGCAGAAGCAAAAAGGCAAGAATTAAGAAAGAAAGAAAAAGAAGTGCAGGGAGAAAAGGTTGATAGAAGTGGAAGGTGGAGAGTGCAGAGAGGTGAAGAATCATGGGTAGCCAGATCTTTTTCATGTGGTTCCTCAGACAATGGGCCATATCCTGGTAAGCTTCTTTAAAAATCACCAGAAATTCAGGATAAAACTGAAGAACAACAGGCAATTGGTATGAGTTGGAAATCCACTGGATAGGCAATGGAAACAGTCCAAGGAGGCTGACTGCTCTGCTGATGGATATTGTAGGTGTCCTACGTGAAGGCGATTGACATCTGGATGGCTGTCTGCCTGCTCTTCGTGTTCGCTGCCTTGCTGGAGTATGCTGCTGTCAATTTTGTTTCTCGTCAGCATAAGGAATTCATGAGACTCCGAAGAAGGCAGAGACGCCAACGCATTGTGAGTATGACTAGGGAGGGGCCCATTTCCTTTGGAATCCTTTCTCCCTACTATTCCTCCCCCAAACTAGGACTTAACCTACACCTCAAAGACTGGATAATCAGGAACCTAGATTCTAGTCCAAGGCTGGTTATAGGTAAGCTCAAAGAACCTCTTTGATTCTGCTTCCTTGTTTCCCCAAAAGGATATTAACTCCTATAAGGCAGTAGAATGATTAAAAGTATGGGCACAATACCTGGAATGTTGTAAGCACTGAAAGTATGTTTGCTAATATTAGAACCTTATCCAGTTTGTTCATATGATATTGCTTTGAGAAGTATTAATGACTGCTCCAGTCTCTCTGCAAACTCAGAAGGAGGCACCCCAGATGTCCTACACTATCAATGGCTAAGCATTCAAGAATCAGACAGTGAAGCTTTTCTAAGGGAGCATTAAAAGAAGGCCCCCATAACTGTTAGTATTGAAATAACACTACTTGCCTCATCTAATTGTTGAACTTCTTCTTGATCTTCATTGGCTACATCAGAGTTGTTGGGCTTGAGGTGTTGTTCTTCCTCACTCTTGTTCGTTAACCCCATTTCTTCTATAGCAGACTGATCACCTGGGGAAATATTACAGAAAGCTTGTTGTCATGACAACAGAGCAGTTTACCCTCAATTGCTCAGACAATAGGTGCTAGGTAAGTTGTTATGACAACAGAGGTGCCTGGGCTACTCTCACAGAAGCAAAGGTCCAATTATAAGTAAAGCTGCAAACCTTGGCTGAGCTACATACTGATTGCTTAATCTTCAGAGACACAAAATTCTGGTCTGTCTTTGACTCCATGTTTTCTGCCTAATCTGTTTCCAAATCAAAAGAGCAAGGATAAAATGGCTTCTGGGGGGTAGAAAATAATTACCTACTGTTCAAACCCTGGCTTTGAAGGATTGGAGATGTAGCTGAGCAACAGTGTGCTCACCTAGAAAGAATGTAGTTTCTGGGTTCAATTCCTAGTACCACAAAAAAAAGAAAGAAAAATCCTGTTTGAACCATATCAAAACAAGAACTTTTCTCTAACACCTAGCTGCTACCTCAACTGCTCCTGGGACATCCCTATCATATGTCCACATGAATAGTATTTCACACTTTCTCCATGCTTTCACACCCCTTGTGTGTCAAGTAGCAGTTTTTCCAAAAGTATTAATTCTTGCCTCTTTCTAGCTCTTTAGTTGGTTCCTAGGCAGCCCGCCCTCTAGTGGATGGACTCACAGCTTCATCTTGAGTAAGATTGATTCTTCAAGAGACCTAAAAGCCTTTCTTGTCCCATATTGAAGACTGGAAAAAGAAATACAGAATTGGCAGAAAGGAAGAAAAGTTTATGATCCCCACCATTTCCTCAGTTGTATCAAACCTGTCTTCAGGTTATCTTAATAGGAATTTTGATACTGATAGCTTCTTAATGCCTACCTTAAGAAAGAAGAGCAGGCTTCCAATCAGTCCAGAGACCCTTGTCCAGTTAAATTGCCTGTGTTGATGTTCCGGCAACAAAAGATTGTTGCAGTTACTGAGGGCTACACCAGGATGACACTATCTTCACCTGGTTCCCTGCACCCACCCAACCCCACCTGCCACAGTCAATCCCCTCCTGCTTATATTAAGGTTGGCTCTGAGCTCATAATGGAGTGTCATCATCACCAGGTCTCAATTATTACAAAGCTATACCAGCAGTCTGGGGCCTGCTTAGGACCCTGGGATGTGCCTGAAAATGGGCTAAGGCTTATTACTAATGTGACTAAAACCTGAAAATCAAACCTGTGCCAGTAATTATGTCCTTTCTTGTGTCTCCTAAAGCAACTGTTGTTCCAGTGGAACTGTATCAGGAATCCTGGAGGCTCTAAGCAGGCTGAACAAACTGATAGAGAATTCATCTATTCTAAAACCTCTTTCTGTGATCTGCTGTTCCAACTAGGGAAGTACAAGTCTTTAGTCTAAAGGGAGTCTGATAGGGCAGAGGGAAACCTTATGATTTTTAAGGGACCATTAGCCAAGATCAAAGTAGGGGTATTCTAGGAGCCAAAAAGTTGTTCAAACTTCAAGCTTAAGGCTTTTCTTCCCTGTTCTCTCCTCAATCACCCGCCTCCATTACATGGTGATTTCCTTCCAGGTCACTGTCTAAAATGGTTGAGTTTTTGTTTTTTCCCTACGAACCTCTGCTCTGTCTTCCAGGCTGGTCTACAAGATTGACAAGACAGATTCTCTTTCATCACTTCAGCGGGCCCTACTAGTACCAGACTCTCAACATCACAGTTGTGTAACCAACTTGGGCAGACTTGTTGGAATGAGCTCTCTGTGAAACTAGACACAGAGAAAATCATGCCATTATCAATAGAATAACTTGAGAACTGGGAATTTCATGACACTACAAAGTCCTCTCAGAGGCTTGGTCTCAGAATCCTGCTCACCTCTCTACATCCTCTATCTAGCAACTCCATCTTCGATCTCTTTTCTTCTTGTTTCTCTTGCTTCTATATGTATTACTCATTCTCTACTTCTTACATCGTGCCTTTCCTCCCCAGCTGGGAAAGTATCTTTTCTCTTTAGCCTCTCAGCCTTCCTCCCTTCCAAAGCTGAAAAAAAAAGTTCTATATCAACAGTCACAAAATAGTATTTAAGACTCACTCCTCAACACCCACAAACACATCTCCATTAGGAATTTTTCCCAAAGAGGTAATATTCAAACCCAGGACTCCTCACCCTTGGCTTTCTGATGAATCATCTTTGCTCTTCCAACTACAAGGGATACATGTTAAAATCAAAGCGCTAAAAGCAACTAATTCTATTGGCGATTATTTCCTTTCCCATACCAAAGGGCTTTTCTGGCCTGGCAAATATTTCCAAACTAATGCCGTTTAAATTGTGCTTGGAGAAAAGGAGAAATAATTAGTTCTACAGAAACAAGTTTCTCCTTTCAGAACGTTTTTTCCAACACATACTGTGTGCTTATTTTCCTCTACCTAGAGAGTAGCGGAGAACAAATGGACTAGTCTGAAGGACCCTGAGCTGGAAAGCAAGGGAAAAATCACTTTACTTAACCTTCTCAGTTTCCAATTCCTTGAGATAATTTTGTTGTTGTTGTTTTTGGTCGTGGAGTTAGAACTCAGGGCCAAGGCACTGTCCCTGAGCTCTTTTGCTCAAGGTTAGCCCTCTACCACTTTCAGCCACGGCTCCTCTTCCCGTTTTCTGGTGGTTAATTAGATAAGAATCTCACAGACTTTCTTGCCTGGGCTGGCTTTGAACTGTGATCTTCAGATCTCAGCCTCCTGAGTAGGTAGGATTACTGGTACAAGCCACCAGTACCTAGCCCCTTGGGAGATATTTTGCTTGCCTCTAGTTCTTTATCTCTAAAATGGGCCCAGCAAATCTCTCATGCAGGAAGAATGTGAGAATGAATTAGAAATACATATGAGATAAGCCAAAGCCTTCTGTAAAAGAGGCTATAGGAATAACTTTGAGAAGAGATCTGAGGCATCCCCACTATAACAGCTCAGGGCCAAAGCACAACCACAATAACTAATAACCTCTGGCCTACAGCATATAACTATTTCCCTAAAGACCCTGACAAATCAGGGATAGGGAAGCAAAGTTCTCTGTTGGGAAGATTTCAAGTGCTAATCCTTTCTAGAGGCCAAAGGGCATCAAACCATTTTTCTGGGTGCAGCAAAGATTGTTCCTGCCAAGTACTTTGTGAGATTTTCTTGTGAATGGACTGCAGTTTGAGACCCTGAGAGGAGACTAGATTCACAAAGCAAAAAAAGAAAAGAAAGAAAATAAGAAAAAGAAAAAGACAATCCTTTCCTTGTATTCTAAACTATGTGGTCCATCAGTCAATTCATTTATTGATTAGATATGTACTGAGTGCCTACTAGATTCCCGGCACAGTGCTAGTCACTGGGGATATAGCAGTAAACAAGAGCAATGCCATCTCCAGTTTGTACTATGAACCCACAAACAGCAAAGGAAGGAATAAGGTCTGCTAGAGAATTTCTGGCCCAAGTTTGCCTTGTCCATGATGCCCAATAACAGGCCTGACCTTATGACAGATTAGCGTCTAGTGATTCAAACAAGAGTTACTAGGACCAACATACCTTTGTGCCCCTTACAAAGACATTTTCATAGCTACAGAGGTCCCGTTATGAAGAGCCTAAAATATATTTTATCCACATTTTATTTATATCAATGTCATACCCATATAACACACATGGTTTTTTTTTAAATTGTGAAAATACTGTACAGAGGGGTTACAATTACATGGGCAAGATAATGAGTACATTTCTTATCAAGCATTGTAGCCTCCTCCTTCGTTTCCCCTTCCTATCCCTTCCTATCCTCCCCCCGCCCCCCCAATCCTCCCTCCCCACCAAAGTTGTAAAGTTCGTTTACTACATAACGACTTTTACATCTCATTGTTGCAATGGGTCCACCTGTATCCCTATTTAAATGATTTGTTTTTTCCCCCTCCCCTCCACCAATTATACCAACATCAAATACAGTGAAAACGGGTTATACCATGGGGGAGGGACATACAAAGCAACAAAAAAATAATCTTATAAATGTGTTAAAAACAATCACATGAAAGAAAAAAACATTTGAATACATATCTTAGGTTCATTTCCCTAACATCAACTTATCTGACCTTTTCTGC